AACAAAACAAAACAAATAAACACATATATAATTAATAAAATTGTTTTAGTGATTTTAAAAATATCACTACAGCATTGCAAAAAAAAGTTTTGTTTTGTTATTCTGTACACCAGTATTTACTGTACTGATGTATGGAGAGAGAGAGAGGGGGTATATTTTTTAAAAATTCGATACTGCACTAATCTTTTTGAAAATACAGAAGAAGTTGTTTTTCTTTTATATTATTTTTATTTTTTTCATTAAAATAATGTGAAGTGTGTGTTTACATGACTGTACAAGTAGGCCTGGTTTATTTAGTGTTGATTTTCCACGTATGCGCCACATATGTTTCTTAAATTGTGATCGCAACTTACCCTTTTTAAAATAAAAAATATTTTCGAAACAAAAGTAACCTGTCATTCACCTGTTGTTTTTTAAGTAAGCTGCTAGATTTTGTTTATTTACTATACGACTTGAAGGATCTACCAGAACCTACCAAACAAGAGGCCCATGGGCCACAACGCTCACCTGAGTCAATATGGCCCTGCTGTTCTTTGTCAGCAGATTTCTTCTTCTATATATTCATACGTAAAGCTTTGATCAATTGTTCTAGGCATAACCTATCCCCAGTTGCCATGTTTTGAATGAAATTGAATCTAAATTTTCTGAGGATGCTTCTATATTCATATAACTAATCATGGTTTTGCTGTTCTTGAAACAGAATTTTAAAAGTGTCTGCCATCCTACCCTGGGGGGTAGGAAGGGAGGGGGGGTTCAAGATTTGAACAAACTTGAATCTACACTACCTAAGGATGCTTCCATATCAATATGACTAATTATGGCTTTGTTGTTCTTGAGAAGAAGATTTTTTAAGATATTTCTTATATATATTCTTTTGTTAAACTTTGATCCCCGATTATGGCCCCACCCTACTACTGGAAGATGCCTTGAACAAACTTGAATATACAATACTTGGGGATGCTTCAATATCAAAATGACTAATCACGGCTTTCCTGTTCTTGAAAAGATTTTAAAAGATTTTTCCTATTTATTCCTATGTAAAACTTTGATCCCCAATTGTGGCTCCACTCTACCCCCAGGGGTCTTGATTTCGACAAATTTGAATCTATACTACCTAAGGATGATTCCATATCAATATGACTAATTGTGGCTTTGTTGTTCTTGAGAAGAAAATTTTTAAAGAATTTTCCTATATATTCCTATGTAAAACTTTGATCCCCCATTGTGGCCCCACCCTATCCCCGGGGGTCATGATTTGAACAAACTTGAATCTGCATTACCTGAGGATGATTCCATATCAAAATGACTAATTGTGGCTTTGTTGTTCTTGAGAAGAAGATTTTTAAAGAATTTTCCTATATATTCCTATGTAAAACTTTGATCCCCCATTGTGGCCCCACCCTACCCCCGGGGGTCATGATTTGAACAAATTTAAATCTACACTACCTGAGGATGATTTCATATCAATATGACTAATTGTGGCTTTGTTGTTCTTGAGAAGAAGATTTTTAAAGAATTTTCCTATGTATTCCTATGTAAAACTTTGATCCCCCATTGTGGCCCCACCCTACCCCCAGGGGTCATGATTTGAACAAACTTGAATCTACACTACCTGAGGATGATTTCATATTAATATGACTAATTGTGGCTTTGTTGTTCTTAAGAAAAAGATTTTTAAAGAATTTTCCTATATATTCCTATGTAAAACTTTGATCCCCCATTGTGGCCCCACCCTACCCCCAGGGGTCATGATTTGGACAAACTTGAATCTACACTAACTGAGGATGATTTCATATCAATATGACTAATTGTGGCTTTGTTGTTCTTGAGAAGAAAATTTTTAAAGAATTTTCCTATATATTCCTATGTAAAACTTTGATCCCCCATTGTGGCCCCACCCGACCCCTGGGGGTCATGATTTGAACAAACTTAAATCTACACTACCTGAGGATGATTTCATATCAATATGACTAATTGTGGCTTTGTTGTTCTTGAGAAGAAGATTTTTAAAGAATTTTCCTATGTATTCCTATGTAAAACTTTGATCCCCCAAAGTGGCCCCACCCTACCCTCGGGGGTCATGATTTGAACAAACTTGAATCTACACTATGTAATGAAGGTTTCCCATAAGTTTCAACTTTTCTGGCCCAATGGTTCTTGAGAAGAAGATTTTTAAAAGAAGACACCAAATTTTCACTTATTCTTAATTATCTCCCCTTGGAAAAGGGCATGGCCCTTCATTTGAACAAACTTGAACCCCCTTCTCCCAAGGATGCTTTGTGGCAAGTTTGGTTGAAAATGGCCCAGTGGTTCTGGAGAAGAAGTCAAAAATGTGAAAAGTTTACAGACGGACGGACGGAGGGACAGACGGACTACGGACAAAATGTGATCAGAAAAGCTCACTTGAGCTTTCAGCTCAGGTGAGCTAAAAATGGGAAAAAATCTGGATTTAGGGAGGGAGTACATGTACATCTTAAAGATCGTCCCTCGCACCCCTCTTTCCAAAAAAAAAAAAAAAAAACTGGCTTAATCCTTGAGAAGTTTAAACATGTTCTTTGTGTTTACTTTTGTGTATATTTTTTTTTATCATATCATGCTGAGTAGTTCCCAGAAACCATTATGTAACTGGCTATTACATGTTTTCAATCGATCGATGAAACGCCCCGCCTACTCTGAATATTAATAAGACGCAACTAAAACCCAGCTCAGACAAGGGCAACATTCTGGAATTAACACCCACTAGTGGGCATTTTTAATTACCTTTAATAAAACTAAAGCGGCGTTTTCAATGTAAATTTTTGCAAGTAATGTACCACACAGAAAACAAAATATGGGTTAAGTGTAAAATAATTAAGATTTGAGTTGATTATATAATGTTAGAGGTGTCCGAAAAAGGGGCCACGGCAATATGCTTAAGTGGAAACATTCTTTGAATCTACACTACCTAACGATGTTTCCATATAGATACAACCAATCATTGCTTTGTTGTTCTTCTTCAGATTTTTTGAAATTTTTCTTATATACTCCTATGTAAAACTTTGATCGTCCATTCTGGTCCTACCCTATCCCCAGGGATCATGATTTGAACAAATTTGAATCTACACTACCTGAGAATGCTTCCTTATAAATTTGACCCATCATAGCTTTGCTGTTCTTGAGAAGATTTTTGAATATTTTCCCAATATATTCCTATATAAAACTTTAATTGCCCACTGTGACCCCACCCTACCCCAGGGGTCATGATTTGAACAAACTTGAATCTACACTACCTGAGAATGCTTCCATATAAATATGACCAATCATGGCTTTGTGGTTCTTGAAAAGAAGTTTTATAAAGATTTTCCCTAAGTATTCCTATGTTAAACTTTGATTGCCCGCTTTGGCCTCACCCTACCCATGGGGGGTCATTATTTGAACAAACTTGAATCTACACTATCTGAGGATGCTTCCATGTAAATATGACCCATCAAGGCTTTGCTGTTCTTGAGAAGAAGGTTTTTAAAGGTGCTCCCTATGTATTCCTATGTAAAACTTTGATCGCCCGCTTTGGCCTCACCCTACCAATGGGGGTCATTATTTGAACAAACTTGAATCTACACTATCTGAGGATGCTTCCATGTAAATATGACCCATCAAGGCTTTGCTGTTCTTGAGAAGAAGATTTTTAAAGATGCTCCCTATGTATTCCTATGTAAAACATTGATTGCCCACTGTGGCCCCACCCAACCCCTGTGGGTCATGATTTGAACAAACTTGAATCTACACTATCTGAGGATGCTTCCATGTAAATATGACCCATCAAGGCTTTGCTGTTCTTGAGAAGAAGATTTTTAAAGATTTTCCCTATGTATTCCTATGTAAAACTTCGATCGCCCACTGTGGCCCCATCCTACACATGGGGGTCAGTATTTGAACAAACTTGAATCTACACTACCTGAAGATGCTTCCAAGTAAATATGACCAATCAATGCTTTGCTGTTCTTGAGGAGAAACTTTGATCGCCAACTGTGACCCCACCCTACCCCTTGGGATCATGATTTGAACAAATTTGAATCTACTGATGATGCTTCCACATAAGTTTCATATTTTCTAACACAGTGGTTCTTGAGAAGAAGATTTTTGAAAGATGCCATAAATTATTCATGAATTTGCAATTATCCCCCTTTGGAAGAAGGCGTGGCCCTTCATTTGAAAACTTGAATTCCCTTCACCCAAGGATACTCTGTGCCAAGTTTGGTTGAAATTGGCCCAGTAGTTCTGGAGAAGAAGATGAAAATGTGAAAAGTTTACGAAAACAACAATGTCGCCAACGACAACAATGACGATGACAGATAACGGACAAATTTTGATCAGAAAAGCTCACTTGAGCCTTTGGCTCAGGTGAGCTAATTATACAAAACGTATCAAACCGTGAAGGTGTATCGTTTCTCCCCTAGGATGAGTAGCGATTTGAATGTATTTCAAAGAAATTTCTATTTTTAGTTAACATGGCAACACCACTCATTGAAATCAAAAGCTAATACATTGAATTATGTGTCTTATAAGTGTAGTCTTCTTGTGTTCCAAGTTACGGTATATTAAAAATCAGATCAACATTGTAGGAGGAGTTGTGTTTTGAAATGATTTCACAGAAATTTCTGTTTTAGTAACCATGGCAACACCATTCATCAAAATCAAAAACTGATAAACAGAATTACATGTTTGTATCTTAGCGTAGTCTATTTGTGTGCCAAGATATACTGAAATCAGACCAAAACTGTAGGAGGAGTAGCATTTTGAAAAATTGATTAGACAGACAGACAGACAGACAGATGGATGGACAAGGGACACCTTACTATTGAATAAGCTCTTCTGGTCTCTGACCAGTAGAGCTAAAAATATATGACACCCTTTAAGTTTAGTTTATGTCTAATGATGACATAGCATGCCACACATGTTCTCTGGAACAATCTAGTGTTTTATTTTTTAAGTAAAATTTAATGATAATCATTTTAACTCACCTGCTCCATACAATGGTAGTATCAAATGAAAAAGGTTCAGTTTTATGGCTTCTTCAAAGATCTTGGCATAACCCAATGACAAACTTTTCAAGAAAGTTTCCCTTTCCTTTTCAGGCTTTTGACTTTTCATATTTTTGTCCCAAACTGGCAAATACACTTTCAAAATAAACTCAAACCTTCTAGAAGTATCATTAACTAGTTCAACATCTCCAATATTACCAGGATCACTTTGCTGTTTGTTTTTTCCTATAAAATTTCCAATTTGCAATTTAAAAAATTTCTCTAATGGGGAAGCTTCTTCCAAATTTTCATTATATACCAATGTCCCTTTATCTGATCCTACTTTTGAAATGTCTTTCTTAATGACACTTATTTTCAGACATTCATTCAAGTAGCATGTGTTGTCTTCATCCATGTATGGATATAAAGATGGCTGATTTTTATTATCAGATTGTGTGTCTGGGTGTTCTTCCACTTTAAATTCTTCAATCATGTCTGGATTAGAGAACACAGATTCAATGTAGATGATCATTTCTTCTGACTGATCCACAAAATGTATTTCCCTCAGGCCCTTCATATCATCTACTGAACTGCTATATTTCACAATGCTGCTTGCATAGCAATTGACACAGATCTCTTTTGGATATCCCGTCTTTCCTACAATAACAAATAACATTATTTAAACCAAGATGTACTCATGATTAGCAAATATGCAGAATCTTGCTGATTTTTTAATTGTGAATTTGAGAAACTTTCCACAATGAAATTTACTCTCTCTTTTCATTTTTTATGTCAATTTTGCAATCCTATGTAGTCCAGCTTTTATTCAGACCAATGATGCAAATATGATTAATATGATACGAAATATTTCTATAAAACCTGTGGCCTTATCCCTGTCCTGGAGACCATATGCCTTGAATAATTATGAACCTACACAAAATGACAATTCTTGCATTAAAGTTTGACAATTTGTACCCTGGTAAATTTCACAACGATACTAGCTACACGGTGCCTCACAAATGTGAACTCGGGCATTTCTTAATGTAGCTGAGTTGGAAATGTAAAATTGTCTGTGAAGTGGTCATCATTCATTATGAAATTTTTGTTACCTGAACAAATAGCTGGTAATGCTATGGATTGTAATTCCTTTTTTTTGGCTTCTTGACATATCTGAAGCATTTTGAACTGAAGAGACTGCTTGCATTCTTTATCTTCCATTGACTTCGTTCTATCAGTTACAATATTCACAACATATTTGCAAGATGGAATTTCTCCTCCTGGAATAACGCATACAAAATCCTTTGGAAGTTTTCCATTATGTCTTTGAAGAATTTCATCAACTTTCTTCTTAAACTCAGGCCCAGCCTTCTCTGCAATAACCTTTGGTAATCCATGTAAATCAAATCTGTTTGATATAGGACAAACTATCGCATCTACTTTTGCTGTGAAGAGAGAACCATGGTAGACAAATACTGATATTCCTTCATTAGTTATAAATACAGGTAACGGTATTGAATTTTCTACTTCTTCCTCTATGCCAGTTTTAGGAGCAAGTAATTCTTCTAACTCTTTTTCAGCTTTTTCAACAATTTTTTTCTTATTTCCAATGATCTCTATTTTATCATTATCTTTAGTCAAGTAGCAGAATAGATCATTGCTACATTTCTGCTGAAGAAGTTCATCTAGGAAATCAAGTTTACTCTGCACAGCAATAGTTTTCCTACTCATCCGGCTAATTCTCTGCAACATACTCTCCAATTTTGCTTTATGATCCTCATTTGCAAATCGCATAGTAACAGTAGTCTTCTTGGGACTCCACTTTTCCTTAATATTGTCTAGAATGTATTTGTAAAAATGCCTCAGCTTGATATAATCCTCATATGTACATTGCATTTCAGGACCTTTCAAATTTCTTTCTGCATAAGAAGGCTGGTATATTTCAGAATCAACAGTTCCCAACTCTTTTTTCTGATCATCTTTTGTATTGACACTATGTGTGGATGGTGCCATTGATGATGTAAAAGAGACTTGTGAAAGCTTTAAAGATGATTTTTCAAATTGTTGCAGTTGTTCTGGAGCAGTTTTAGCTTCTTCTGTTATCTTCTCAGAATCAGACATTTGTTTCAAATGATCTGTGTTTGTGATTGAAGTTTCCACATCTGTCTTGTGTTGATTATCTTCAGTGGAAGCTTGTTCTCCCAAATTATCCAATGGCTTTTTTAGCAATGATGATAAAAAGTCAAAAGCTGCTTTGACTTCCAGTACGTTTCCACAAAGAACCATGCTACTCGGCTCTTTCTGATCAATGGTAACACCAGATTTCTGTCTAATTAGATCTTCTGTAATACCCCTCTGTTTCAATAGTTTCACCATTTTTTGACTTACAACTGCCCTCAAATCAATCACTGCCTGATTTAAAAAATTACAATTATCATTGGAGATCATATATAACATGCAATAGAATATAAGTATATAACAAACATGAATGTCTCTCAAAAAAGTAAACATACTGGGCAAAAGGAACAAAAAGTGTACATTCACTGGAAAGAATTACCATATTGTATATAACAAACAAGGACCCATGGGCCATATTGCTCACCTGAGGACTTTGGCAAAGAAAGAGCAAAAAATCAATTCAGTATTGAAATGTCTAAAGATGTATGTCCCAACTACCCTAAAAGGGCATGATTTGAACAAACTTGAATCTATGCTACCTGAGGATGCTTCCATATAAATGATGACCAGTCATGGCTTTGCTATTCTTGTGAAGATTTTGAAAGTTTTTTCCTATTTAAAACTTTGATTGCCAATTGTGGCCTTATGCTACCCCATAATTTGAACAAATATAGATCTGTACTATCTGAGAATGCTTCTATATAAATTTTATCTTTCCCCACCCACTGGTTCATGAGAAGATTTTTTTTAAAAAGATGCCATTAATTTTTCATTAATTCGTAATTATCTCCCCTTGAAAAAAGGCATGGCCATTCATTTGAACAACATTAATCCCCTTTACCCAAGGGTACACTGTGGTAAGTTTGGTCGATTAATGTACAGTGGTTCTTGAGAAGAAGTCAATAATGTGAAAAGTTTACTGACAGACAGACATACAGACAGACAGACACCCAACAACATGTGATCAGAAAAGCTCACTTGAATCTTTGGCTCAAATAATGAACATTTCAAAGTATGATGTACATGGTTATCATAATTATCCATTTTAATTGTATTATACATGTACATGTATAACACAACTGTATTACATTCTTTTAGTTGAGAAAACAAAAGGAACATACTTGTTGAGGAAACCTTTGCAAATCATATTTCCACTTCAAGCTCTCCATCTGATAAACTCTTTCAATTCCTGAAAAATGTAATCATAAATATTGTATCATATTATTTCTCCCTTCAAAGGAAGGAATATTGTTTTCATAATTCAGATACTAATAATACGATATTTTCTGACAGTGACCTCAAACTTGCCAAAATAGACTTGGGTCAAATTCATGACACACTATCAGGACATCAGCAGTCTATGTGAAGTATGAACTTACAATGTTTTTCCATTAAAAAATTTAGACCAAGTCAACACAAATTACATGTAAACTTTTTCTGTCAGTGACCTTAATCTTACCTCACTGTTTTGAAAATATTTTAAAAAAAATAATATGTAAATACCATCTTCAGAGGAAAATTGCAGTAGTGCCTGGTTGTCACTTTGAAAGGGACAAACAATATTTTCTGCTAGATCCCTGAAGTCTTTTCTCACTTCTGTCTCCTGTAATCTATGTTTGTTTGGTTCTCTGAATTTCAGCAAAACACATTGTCTTTCTTTGGACATGGGATCAGTTCTTTTGCTGAAATTTTAAATTACAAAATACTATACATAGATAAATTCTCCCTTGAGGTAAAAACTGTGAAACTAAACCATATGATAAAATTCATTAAAACCAATGGGATAACATTTAAATAATGCATCTGGTTATTCTTACGAGCAATTATTATGCAGAGTGTAAAAAAATACAAGAACATTTTTTTCTTAATTTCTACTAATACATTCTTTTGTCCTCTGAAATGTAGCTTCTCATGAATTCAGTAAAGCAATTGGCAATAACTATACTGAAAAGTGGATTCCTTGAGCTCCATATTGTCTAACTCAGGTTTTTCCCTACAAAGGTTAGGGCTAAAATTGAGCAATTTTGTCTAATTAACAGTACCAACTTATCCTTGATACACATAGAATACATTAATTTTAGAAAATGAAGATTGAATTTGCATGGTAATTATTGCTATCCTTATGTTATTCATTTTTTATTCTTATCAAATATCATAATGCTCAAATGTAAGTCAAATAGAAATCTTGCAGTGAACTGTTACCAAGTCAAAATTTTAGTTACTGTGAAATCACGAGTTTTCGTGGGGGTTTAATTTTCATTGTTTTGAAGAGACCCATAAATTCATGTCCACCATGAACTTTCAAACACATAACTACAACACTTCTCCAACCATGAAATGAAAACCCAGAAACCAATATTTTTTCTTCAAACCTCGAAAAACCCCTAAAAAATGTGATTTTTACAGTACACAGAAACAAAACTGATTCTCACCCAGACTCCTGAAACTGATTTCTGGAAACATTTTTTTCTGCACCTAGCAATGAACATACAAAAATTTAAGCCATCTAATAAAGTTTGACATAAATGTTCGAATTTGGCCAATTCTGAAATTCTCACAATTCTGAAATGATGAATAAATCAAGTGATTTAGTAGTAAGGTCAAATAAAAACAAAGATTGAGAGTTAAAAAAACTTTTACATAGTAATTCTGTACTAGATTTCTTTGTTTTAAAAAAGGTCCTTAGGCCACAAGATTAATTTGTTAGCCTTTGTCTAATACAGCTGACAAGTGTACCTTTAAGTGTTGTTGTTTCACCAAGTCTCTCTGTTTCAGATATTTCTGACCTTGGTGGTTCAGTCTGCA